CTAGTACTGAGTTTAACTGTTGAACTTGAAAGCATGCCTACATTTCTGTACCATTATTTATGTACTGGACTGTACCAGCGGAGCTCGTCACTACTTTTAGCCCAGAGGTTAGTCTTGTTACTTATTGAGTTGGTTGTACTCATACTACACTCTGCACCTCATGTTCAGATCCGGGTGCTTTCGGACACGGGGACTGTTAGATCTTAGAGTGCTATCTGTTGGAGACTATCAAGGTAGTTGCCTAGCGTCCACTGACCTTGACTCTCTTTCTCTTAGTTATTGTACTGTTCTATATTGTCAGGCAGTGTTTTATCAGTCAGACTTTGTATTTATATTAGATGCTCATGTACTCAATGACATCGGGTTTTGGGGAGAGTTTATATCTATATTTGTGAGATTTCTTCCGCTGAATTTAAATATTATGTTTTCAAATTTAAAATATATGGTATTTTATTGAGATTGTTGGCTTGCCTAGTATTAAGATAGGCGTCATCACGACAGGTGGGGTTTTGGGTCGTGACAATAACACGTCATGATAATTCAATTAAAGGCATGGAAAGAGTCTAAAAAATCTGAACCGGTCAAATACCACATATTGCCCGTGTACCCACTCGTCACCTTGCGTACACGGCTTTCACATAACACAAATAACACAATCAACTCGAATCTTAAGTGGTAGTTTCCCCCACATAAAGTTAGATAAGATAGTTACCTCAAAGAAGAAAAATCGATATTCTAAAAGGACCTTCTCTTGTGAAACAACCTCTGTACGACTCAAATTTAGCCAAAATAACTTAATATCAAAAATACAAACCATAGAAAATAATTCTGGATAATAAAGTTTCGATCTTTAATTAAAATTAAAAAAATCAACCCTCGGACCCTCACCTAGGAACCTAAAAAATTTCACAAAACCCGAACACACATTCCGATACGAGTCCAACCATACCAAAATTATCAAATTTCCGATATCGAATCGCCCTTCAAATCCTCATTTTACATTTTGAAATATTTTTACAAATCTTTCCCAAATTTCCAACTTAATTCAGTATTTCAATGATGAAAATAACAATGGATTCTTGAAAGATAATAAGATTCGGGTAAAGAACACTTACCCCAATAAATTTCTTCAAAAACCCACGAAAACTCTCCCTAAGTCGAGGTCTACAACTCCAAAAAATGATAAAATCCTCAAACCCTTGAAATATATGTTCTGCCCAGCATTTTTCACATTTGCGAACAGAAACGCCGCATCTGCAGCCTTGCATTTGCGAGAACAAGATCGCATCTGCGAACACAACTTACTAGTCCAGGATCTGCATCTACGGAAAACACAGCCGCACCAGCGACAGCGCAGAAGCGAACATTTTCGCATATGCGATCACTGGGCCGCAAAAATGGTCATCGCACCTACGGGCAAAACTCCGCAGAAGCATGCTTCCTCCTAGGCCTCACTCATCGCAGAAGGGACCAGACTGAGGCAGAAGCAGAGCCGCACATGTGCTCCAAAATGTCGTAGGTGCGAAGCACCAGAACCAGACCTGCCTAAAGCATGAAAATGATGCTCATCTAAAACACATCCGGGGAACCCGGGACCCCGTCCAATCATACCAACAAGTTCTATAACATAACTCAGAACTACTCGAGGCCTCAAATCACATCAAACAACGTCAAAACTGTGAATCGCACCTCAATGACGTCGAATCATATCAAATCAACCCGGAATGATGTCAACTTTTGCATGCAAGTTCCAAATGAAACAACAGAGATATACCAACTCCCAAAATTGAAATGCTAACTCGATATCGATAAAGGCAACTCTCTGTCAAACCTCTAAACCTTCAACCTTCCAATTTTTACCAAAATGTGCTGAAACCTTCTAGAAATATCCAAATGTGAATCCGGGCATACGCCCAAGTCCAAAATCACCATCCAAACCTAACGAAATCATCTAAACTCGGATCCGAGGTCAAATACTCAAAACTCAAACTTGGTCAACTCTTCCAACTTAAAGCTTCTTAGTTGAGAATCATTCTTCTAAATCAATTCTGAATAACCTGAAAACTAACACCAACGATTCAAATAAGTCATAATATATCATACAATATTGCTCAAGACTTCAAATAGTTTAACGAAATGCAAATGCTCAAAACGACCGGCTGGGTCGTTACACTTCTTGTCCTTTACAACAAAAGATGATTTATCAAACTAAATGGAGCAGCAATTATCTCTAGTAATCTTACTTATAGATAACAAATTCTTTTTGAGCTTAAGAACTACTAGCACTTCATTCACCTTAAACTAGAAATTGTTCCTTTTCCAACATGTGTGATAACCAGTTCTTGTCCATTTCCTGCTGCAATTTTATAATTTCCATTGTAAGGTTTAAGGTTGGATAAGTTACCTGAATTGTTGGTCGTGTAAGTGCTTGCTCCAGAATCCATATAGTGAGCATTGTATCCACCACTCTGACTGTCCATATTGAGTGTAGCAAGAGCATATGGCAAATCTTCTAGTGCTTGATAGGAGAAGTCCCATCTGTAGAAGCACTTTATTGCAGTGTGATTGTTCCTGCCACATATCTGGCAGGCTGATGATCCTATGGTTTCCTGTCCCTTAGCAGCATTTTTAAATCCTTGAGTGTTTTTATTGTTGTTCTGTCCATCAAGCCTGAAGCATCTACCTCTTGAACTGTAGTTCATGTTACCTCTTCTGTTTTGAAAAACTTCCTCTACCTATGTTGTTATATGTCCTTTGTGCTGCAAATGCCATATTGTGATTCACTTGTTGTGGATCATCTCCTTTATCCTCTCTGAGATCAAAGCCTCTTAGGGAAGTGCCCAACTGGCTTAGAGTTGGATAAGATGCTTTGCCAAGCATCATTGTCCTAAAAGTTTTCGTATTTAGGACCCAAACCTCTAGCAAAGTTGATGACCTTGATATCATCATCTACAGCCTTGTGTATGGCAGCCAAGGCATCACAAATGCCTTTGAATTCCTTCAGATACTCATCGATAGTTCTACTGCCAAGCTTGATAGTTTGAAGTTGTTGCTTCAACTGGAATTCCTTGTCCTTTTTTGCCTGCAAGTAGGTTTCTTCCAGGCATTCCCACATCTGTTTAGCAGTCGTGCATCCCACAATGAGATACATGCTCTCTTCTGACATTGTCCCAGATATCCAATTCCTTAAAAATACATCTTTTCTAGCCCAGACATCAGCAATATCAGCCTTTTTGTCACTGGCTTTGTCAACTCCCTTGCCACTATCCTTATCATTGCTTTCACTGGTGCCTTCTATGTTTATAATTTCTAGCTTTCCTTCAACTAGATAATTCAATCTCATTACTTGGATAAGTTGCATCATTTGTGTTCTCCATATCAGATAGTTAAAGGGCTTCAATTTCATATGACATGAAGCAATGAGATAATGAAGAGAGATTGTTGAAAAGGTGTTGGAAGCCATATGGACGGAGTTGATATTGTATAGTAAGAACTGAATTTTAGCAGCGGGATTGGCTTCAAATAAGCTCTGATACCATGTGAAAGTATGGTGCAGAAACAATATCAAGAAGTCAGTGTATTAATATATTTTTAGTTACACGAGTCCTATGTATTTATACAGAATATTGATCCTATAATTTGGCTATAAAACATAGAGTAAGACTCTTCTAAGATAGTTAATACAAAGAGTCCTAATTTGTGTAAACTAAGACTAAGTGATCGCATAGTTATCAGGTTTGTTAGCCTGATCATTATCTTGTACACAAATGACTTCAAGTGTTAAAATGGGACATTCTTAAGTTCATATGTTGGGCAAACCAGTGCAAATTCAAATGGTTACGAGATCGTTTAGCCTTCTAATAAATATGCAGTTAAAGTTGGAAGGAAGAGAAAGGCCTTTGTTTGCTCTGCAATTTAATAACGATAATAGAAAATACTTTCTATAAAAGCATATCTCCGCTATAGTCAAAATATGAAGAATTTGAATAAAAGCATATCTCCGCTATATATATAAAGTTGAGGTGGCACCTCTTCTAATCAAGGAAATGTATTTATCTATTTTCTTGTTTTTTTTTTTGGAGTTTTTTCTTAGTTTAATACAATATTTAATTATTTAAAGCCAAAAAGTTATGGTTGTAATTATACCTCCATAATAAATAAAGGAATAGAAAAGGCAACATTTTCAAACGTGAAAGACATCTGTTTTTCCCCTTTCTTCTTTGTTCCAGAGATGCCATATTATTTTCCATCTATTTTGTGTATTTACCTACCCATTAAATTCTACATATTTACTTGAAAGACGTTTCACTACTATTTTCTTCCATTTTGCGTATTTACTTGCCCATTAAACTTTCATTTACTTACTCCCTCAAAGGTAACATATACATATGCCTTTAAATGGGTTGCATGAAATTGAAGTCTTCATAACTTTTTTCAATTCCAGTTTTACATATTCTTCTTTCCCTACCCGATAATATTCTTATAATGTTGGAATTTGTTGAGGAATATGGGTCCCATATATTTAAAGTGTAGACTTAGTAAGTGATTAGTGAGATATAACTACTTAGTGGAGTAATATAGTAGTAGTAGTAGTAGTTAATCTCTATAAGTAGTGGAAAGTACTCTGTAAATATAGTAGGTTGTACATTTCAATATTCAGTAAAGGGAGTAATGTTCTTCTCCTTCACTTCTATCTTCTCTTTCTATCTTCTCTGTATATCACCATAGCTAGAGCACTTTACCATGGTATCAGAGCTCGATTGATCGAGTAATGACGGCTCAGCTGTGACGGAATACTTAATCTCAGCCTCAATTTCTCGCTTTATGCAACCGATTGATTCGATTTTCATCCGAATTTCACCTACTCAAGGCTAGGGTTTGAAATTTGTGCGTGATCTACTAGATTGGATCGATTTTGGAGGATATTAATCTGTGCATGTGTCTATAGTCTCATTTCTGTTCTTCTATTCAAAACTCTCAAAGTTTCTCAATTCACAACCATGTCGGTTCATGAAGATGTTACTGATCCTCAGCTCGCAATGATGTATGAAGCTCAATCAGTAGATCAGATTGATCATCATCATCCTCTGTATATTCACCCATATGATACGCAAGGTTCGGTCCTTATTTCTATATAATTGCAAGGATCTGAAAATTACTCGATCTGGAGTAGGTCATTGAAAATTGTATTACATGGCAAAAACAAGTTAGGATTTGTTCTAGGCACCTGCAAAAAAAGCAACTACGATGTTAGCCTTCATGAACTATGGGATAGATTTAATGTGATAGTGCTTGCATGGATTATGAATACTGTGTCTCCTAATCTGCTTAGTACTGTAATCTATGCATCAGATGCCTATACTGTTTGGGAAGATCTTAGGGAGAGATTTGACAAAGTTAATATTTCTAGGGCAGCTTACTTGCATAAGGAAATAGCTACACTAACCCAAGGAGTATCCTCTATATCTGTTTACTTTTCTCGACTAAGAGAACTGTGGGATGAGTATGAAACGTTGACTCCTCCTCCTACTTGTGGTTGTCCTGAGTCAAAGAAGCATGTTGAGCACTATCAGCTTCAAAAACTCTATCAGTTTCTCACTGGGCTTAATGACTCATATAAAAATGCTAAGAATCAGGTGTTGATGACTAGACCTCTGCCTAATCTGAATCAAGTTTATGCTATGATTATCAATGTTGAAAGCCAAAGAATCAATGGTAAAGGTGTGTATGGTTCTAATGATGCCAATGAAGTTGCAGCTATGATGAGTAATAGGCACTACAACAACAATGGAGGTCCTACAAACACTGCATACACTGCAGGTTATAAAACTAAAAAATCATTCAACAAGTCACCAGTTTATTGTGAGTACTGCAGGTGCAAAGGACATACCAAGGAGAATTTCTTCAAACTACATGGATATCCAAGTGATTTCAAAAACAAGAAGAGATGAGGAAATTTCACTGCTCAGTCTAACAATGTAAGCAACTATGGCAGTCAATCTTCAGAAGCTCAAAATAATTCCTTGGGAAGCTCTACTCTTAGTTCTCTAGCTAAGTTCTTTACTCCAGAACAGTACCAGCAGATATTGCAGATGTTGAACAAAGGCAAGGATGCTGAACCTGTAGCTAATTCAGCAACTACAGGAACAGCAGGTAACACACATGCTTTTATGTCTTCCTTGGTGAATCATAAGTGGATAATAGATACAGGGGATTCTAATCACATGGTGCATAGTTTAAATTTATTGGATTCTTATAAAGAATTATCAGAAACAGATAAAAACAAAGTATATCTCCCTACTGGTGAGAAGCTTATTATTACACACACTGGAATATGTTCCTTTTCAGAGATAAGAAGGTTCAGAACATACTGCATATTCCAAAATTCAAGTATAATCTACTCTTAGACTCTAAGATCATAAAAGAACTAAGGTATATGGTGGCATTCTTCCCTGATTTCTGTGTCTTTCGGGAACTCTTCAGTGGGAAGGTCCTGGGGATTGGTAAAGAAGAACTTGGTCTCTACATTCTCAAGACTAAAGACAGACAATTTTCTGAGCAACATTTACCACCAACTGTAAATACCATTGTTAGTAGTACAAATAAGTGTGCTAGTAAGACTAGTGAGAGTAGCACACAATCTTGAAATAAGTTGGATTTGTGGCATAAAAGGTTAGGACATGCTCCTCTAAAGGTGGTCAGAAAATACATAGCTTAAGTGATTTACACCCGAATGGTGATCATTGTACTGTATGTCCCATTGCAAAGCAATCCAGACTCCATTTTCATCCTAGCACTTCATGTTCTACTTCTGTCGTTGACCTTGTGCATGCAGATGTTTAGGGTCCTTATAGGATACCTACTCATGATAACAAAAGATTTTTCTTGTCCTTAGTTGATGATTACTCAAAGTATATTTGGATATTTCTTCTAACCACTAAAGTTGATACTATTGTGGCATTGAAAAACTTCCTAGCAATGGTTAGAAATCAGTTCAGAACCTCTATTAAATGTCTTAGAACAGATAATGGCACTGAATTTATGAATGATCAAGTGACTTTCTTATTTCAAAATCTTGGAATTCTTCATCAAAGTTCATGTGTGTACACTCCTCAACAAAATAGAGTTATTGAGAAAAGACACAGATCAATTCTAGATATGGCTAGAGCGCTGAGATTTCAGGCTTATGTACCTTTGTGTTTCTGGGGTGAATGTGTGTCCACTGCAGTTTACCTACTGAACAGGCTACCTACTATTCTTCTTCAGGGAAAGACTCTCTTTGAGGAACTTTATCAGAAAGGTCCATCCATTCAACATCTCAGAGTTTTTGGGAGCTTATATTATGCCACTAAAGTACAGAAAGTAGACAAGTTCATTCCTAGAGTAGTCCCAACAATTTTCATGGGGTATTCCTATTCTCAAAAGGGCTATGTGCTATATGATCTTCATTCCAAAGGTTTCTTTGTAAGCAGAGATGTTGTGTTCAAGGAATATATTTTTCCTTTTAAGAATATGAGGTCAGATGTTCCTTGTCTATTTCTTATTCTTGAGTTCAGAGACTCATCACCCATCTATAAGAATGCTCAACAGCCATCTTCTGGCTAAGTAGAAAGTTTTGAGAATATTTAGGGAGAGAGGTCTTTGAAATTTGGGAAAAAATTTTATGACTCTTACAATGGGAATGGGGGTCTTAAATAGAGTAGAAGAGAAATGCCTTTTCATCTTAGGCTTACAAATGTACCGCTTAAATTTGTTAGACAAAATTTAGTGGTAGACAAAGAACAAAGTGGGTGGTTTTACTTTTGCAAAAGTAAAGTGGTTGCTTTAGTGTAAAGCAAAAAGGATAAGATTCCTTTTGTTTTGTCCGTCTCGAAAATTGATTTCTTTATTCGCAGTTGGGGTCCATGTAGGCCAAAGCTATTCCCTTTGGGTTGCACATGTCTCTGTTACTGCTTTCTCCTGTTGAAGCAGTATCTTCTATTAGCTGCATGATTTGATGTTCTTCATAGTTGTCAATATTTTGCAGAGCTTGCTTGAGATTTTCTTTGAGCGCTGCTTTTGAAGATGAAGCTTTTGTAAGGCTTTGTTGAATATTTGTCTTGGGAATCTGTTGTTTGGGAGTCCAACCTTCTCTAATTATGGGGTTATCATCACTTATGGTACCTGACCTAGCCAAACATATCTCCAATGAATCACTAATTAACTGATTATCTTTATATTCGTCTACAAGATCATCTAGTAAGTCAATTTGAAAACAAGATGATGATGACTCATCCCCAGGAAATTTTATCATTTTCTGCATGTCAAAAATCATTCTTTCCTCATCAACTAGCAATATTAATTGTCCTTGATGAACATCAATAATTGCTCTCCCTGTTGCGAGAAATGGTCTACCTAAAATTAATGGTACCTCAGTATTTTCTTCCATTTCAAGCACTATAAAATCTATTGGGAATACAAATTTGTCAACTCTAACAAGGATATTTTCAATAATTCCTTTTGGTGTCTTAGTACTTTGATCAGCTAATTGAAGAGACACACCAGCATCTTTCATTTCACCAAGTTCTAATTTTCTGAAAATTGAAATAGGCATTAGATTTATTGAAGCACCTGAATCACATAACGCCTTTTCAAAATGAGCACCTCCCACGGTACAAGGAATTGTAAAACTTCCCAGATCATCCAGTTTCTGTGGGAGCTTATTTTGAAGTATAGCACTATATTTTTCTGTAAGCTTAACCACTGAAACTTCTTCCAATTTTCTTTTACTTGACAAAATCTCTTTGAGAAATTTAGCATATGAAGGCATTTGTGTCAAAGCATCTGCGAAAGGTATGTTAATGTAAAGTTGCTTCAAAATATCTAGAAACTTTGAAAACTGTTTGTCAAGCTTTTCTCTGTTCATCTTTTGGGGAAAAGGGAGAGGTATAGAGTGAGGATTTGTTATCAATTCATTTTCTTGTACATTCTTTCCTTTATTCTTTTGTTCTTTTGGAAACTTAGATTCCATTTTATTCTCACATTCATTTACCTTTTTCACTTCTTGTGGCTTTCCTTCTCTATCTACATATGGATCATCAAGAGATTTACCTGCTCGTAGAGAGATGGCTTTGAGGTGTTCTTTTGGGTTTTTCTCTGTGTTGCTTGGTAGAGCACCTTGAATTTTTTCAGACATGAGGGTTGCTAACTGGCTTACCTAAATTTTTAAATTCTTGATAGCTGAATGTTGACTTTCAACCTTCTCGTCAGTAGCCTTAATGAATTTGTATATCATGTCTTCAAGTCTTTGTTGATGAGCTCTTTGAGGCTGCTGCTGATATTGTTGAAAAATTTGTTGCCCTCTATTTTTATTTTGAAAACCAGGTGGTCCCTGTACCTGCTGCTTTTGATTAAAAACAATTTGAGGATTTTCAGCACCATTAGGATTACTCCATTGAAATCCTAGATGTTTTTGTGCCATGGGACTATCGAATGAGTAATTATTTCTATAACCAATCGCATTTACCTGTTCCTCATTTTGTGTTGAAGCTTGGCATTCATGATTCGGATGATTTCCTTAACAAACATCACAATTCTCAAGTTGGGATGATGAGTGAGCACCTACCTGAAAAGCCTCCATTTTTTTGTGTTAAGGTCGCAATTTGTTGTGTCAATGAATTCAAAGCTTCAACTTGATTTACTCCAGCTGTTTTTTTTATAATCATTCTGTCTGAAGGCCATTGAACAGCATTTTTCGAAATTTCATTAAGCAATTGCATTGCTTCTGTAGTAATTTTTCCAATTATTGATCCTCCTGATGTTGTATCAATTACATTCCTAGCAGAGGGTTTAAGACCGTGATAGAAAATATATAAAATGACAGGGTCTTGGATACCATGATGTGGGCATTTTCTTAACATTGCTGCTAATCTTTTCCATGCCTGGTATACAGATTCAGTATCTGTCTGCATAAAATTATTAATTTCTTGCTTCATTTTAATTGTTTTTATAGGTGAAAAATATTTATTAAGAAATTTTTGGGTCATTTGGTCCCATGTTGTAATAGAACCTCTAGGTAGACTTCGCAACCATATTTTGGCTTCACCTTTTAATGAAAAAGGAAAAAGTTGCAACCTGATAGCATCTGTTGTGACTCAATTTGTCACGACCCAAAATCTAACCATGGTCGTGATGGCGCCTATCGTGTTACAAGGCAAGTCTATTTCCCAAAATATTACTACGAAATTAATTATAAGAACTTAATAAAATATTTCCAACATTTGAATTTTTCATAAATTAAATCAACCCTAAATATAATTATAGAAAATACGGAAACGAGCCACAAACATCAGGGTGTCACTAAGTCATGAGCGTCTAAAACTATAAACTAAGATATATAAACTGTCTAACTGTCCAAAAGAAGAAATGACAAAAGGAGTAACAAGGTCCTGCGGACGCTAGCAGCTACCTTGCAGTCTCCAAAGATAGCCGGTCTGAACTCAACGATTGCCGCCTTCTAACTCACCTGGATCTGCACATAAAGTGCAGGGTGTAGTATGAGTACAACCGACTCAGTAGTAACAGAAATAACTAAGGAACTGAGCAGTAGTGACGAGCTAAGCAGAATAATCCAATTATTATTTTCACAATTAAGTACAAACAGGAGTAGACAGGTAATTTCATAAATCAGTAAGACTACAAGGAAAATTAGCAGGTAAATGCAGCAATAACAAAAGTAAATGCAACCTTACAGTAATGTCACTCTGTCACTTAGCACTCGCACTCAGCACTCAACGCTCAACACTCTACGCTCACTGGGGGTGTGTACAGACTCCGGAGGGGCTCCCAAAGCCCAAGCGCTAAGCACGGACAACTCATGTGCCATCATATCATTACCTGGATGCGCACGGTCAACTCACGTGCTATGCGGACAACTCACGTACTATGGTATCAATACCTGGACTCGCACGGTCAACTCACGTGCTACGCGGACAACTCACGCGCTATGGTATTAATATCCTCACAACCAGGCCCTCAGCCTCACTCAATCATGTACCTCACTAGCCTCACCATCATCAACAAATAAGGGAACACAGCCCACATCAAGTATCACAGCATATTAGCAAATAATAGAGACTGAGGTAAACAAGTACAATATTGTTTATGACTGAGTACAAATAATGTGAACATGAATAAAGCCTAAGCATGATCTCTAACATGAAGGCAGACAAGTTCAACAACAACTAACTACGTAAACACAGATGATGGTCATGAGGCCTCACGGGACGGACCAAGTCTCAATCCCTCGAGGTATACACCCACACGCCCGTCACCTCGCGTGGGTATCACCTCCAAACAGTCACACGATATCAAATTCTCCGGGTTTATGCCCTCAAAGCCAGAGTTAAAACTGTTACTTACCTTAACAGCATAAAATCCTACTCTGGGATGCCCTCATCTCTGGACTCGGTCTCCAAAAGCTCCGAATCAAACCAAAAATCAGAATACTACTATCAATATAGTCTAAAGAATCGAATTCCAAAATAAAAACTACATAAATATACCAAAAATCCAAAATCGGCAAAAACTCGGCCCCCGGGCCCACATCTCGAAATCAGTCAAAAATGATAGAATAATAAACCTCATCCTTTCCTGAGTCTAACCATATAAAATTCATCAAAATCGGACTCCATTTTGGTCCCTCAAATCCTCACTTAAACTCTCCAAAACTCTCCAAAAATGAAGATGGATTCATGAAATATAATCAAAACTGAGTAGAGAACGCTTACCCCAATCCTTCAGGTGAATATTGCCCCCAAAATCACCCAAATCCAAGCTCTCCAAATCAAAATATGACTGAATAAACAAACCCTCATTTTATATATTTTTCTGCCAGTTATTCTACCTCGTTTCTCATGCCAAACGATCCCAAAACTCACTTTTTATTCCTCCAATGGATTCCTTGTAAAATTGTAGTCAAGTTAGGCTTTTGAATCACTCAATTTGACCTTATAATGAAGGAGATATGTTGTTTTCAATATTTACAAATAGTGCAGATTTTTAAATAGGCCGTCAGTGGCAATTTCGTAATTAACATGAAAAATCTGGCAACCTAATTCTTAATAAAATGACCATAAAATCCTCATACGATGTCCAAATTCGACGATTACTTTTTCTACGGGTCCGTAATTATGATACGGATCTAATTCTTCAATCAAAAAAGAAATCGGAGCTCATTTGTTCAATATGATATCATTTATGCTTGAAGAAACGACGTCGAAACATAAGAAAAACGAGCACAACACAACTCAAACCTATTCAAAACTCACCCGAGGCCCTCGGGACCTCAACCAATAATTTCAACAAGTCATATATCACTACCCTAACATAGTCGAACCTTCGGAACACCCAAAATAACACCAAAACACCAAATCAACATCGGATTCAAGCCTAAGAACTTCTAAACTTCCAATTTTCGCCAATTCAAGCCTAATTCTACCACAGACCTCCAAATTACATTTCGGATACACTCCGAAGTCTAAAATCACCCAACGAAGCTAACCGAATCATAAAAATCCACATCCAAATTTGTTTACTCGTAAGTCAACTTCATGTTGACTTTTCTA